AAAAAGGGAGCTGGTTGAACACACGAAAATGGAGTTCAGCAAAAGCTCATAAAAAATGGAGTTCACGGGTCTCTTTTCATTAATCCATTAACGTGGCTCCAAAGTAGTACACAAAGCAGCCATTAGAGCATCTCATTAGTTAAGCTCTATTCCACTCCTAAAAACTAGTCTGTTCGAAGCCATAAAAAATCGTTCTCTGCTAGCTCACTATCGCCGGCATTTCGCCGGATTTTTACCATCTCCGGCCAGCTCTTTTCCCTCGTGAACAGTCCCCAAAATAGTCCAAAAAACGTAACAAAACCTCCACTAAAGCAGTCCGAAAATCAGCTTCTTACATCACTGAAAGAGCTGCAGTTTAAGCTCCATTTCAGTCGTGTAAAGTCACCGGAGTTTAGTGAGTTTCCTAAGTCGGCTTCGAGTTTCCGACGATTTGGTCAAGTTTCTGTTGAGGTCTTGTATGCAGTTTTGTTAGTATTTGAGCTTCAAAAGTTGTCAAGGAATCGAAGCTCAGACGCATCTATAAAAGGTTCTTTTTTTTGTTCTTATCTCATCTTATTATAATAGCTTGATGAATGTTGTTGATGGATCCCCTATTCTCTGTTAGCATGCTTTCACGTGTGATTTTATCTTATTTTCAATTGTTTTGTTGTTATTGGATCATTGATGTTGAGTTGTTAAGAGGGATTGATCAGATTTCTATGGCTGGCCACTAAAGTAGATCTTGTGTAAATGTGCCTATCGATATTGTTACAAGTTTGTACGTGGCTAAAATTCCCGCTTAACTGCAACCACACACCAATTTGATATGCTTTCGTAGTTCTAGTTGTCATACTGTATCATATCATTCTCACTATAACAAATTAGATATATATTTGCAGATTTGTTATCTTCCCCCTTAACAATTCAAGTGCGTGAGAGACAGAAGTGCATAAACATGTTGCACAAAATGCATTATTTTAATTAGGAAGTCCAAAAGTTAAAAACAAAACAATGGGTTAACTTGATAAATAACTTCATTTCCCATTGGCTTATGTTTTACAGATGACTTTTGCTTGTGTGAGCTATGAGGAAGAATATCGTAGTTTGCTTTAGGCGCGTAAATAAATCAGGCTATGAGTACGGTTCCCGTGATGCGGTTCGCAATATGTACAAAAATAAACGAGCGCGCGACATCGCGACTTGTTCAAACAAATTCCATAAATATTAAAAGCGGATAGATAAAACATAGAAACTAATAAATCACAGTTTATCTAAAATTAATTCAAGCGAAGTTGTAGTCAATAAAGCGACCGTGCTAGAACCACGGGAATCGGGAAATGCCTTACACCTTCTCCTCGGTCAACAGAATTACTTATCCGGACTTTATTTTTGCAGACCAATAATAAAGGAGTCAAACCTTCCTGTGACTAGGGATTCAAATAAAAGGTGACTTGGAGCACCAAAAATCAATTCCAAGTGGCGACTCTATAAATAAAAATAATCCCTACTCAAATTTGTCACTTTAATTGGAAAAACTCTTTAACTCACCATTCATAACACACCTCATTTATCTTTTTGGGGTAGAAAAAGGGGTGTGACAAACACTGTTCAAAATCCGAAAAATATTTTAGCATAATATACTGGAGTTCGAATTTTTTACATGTGAACTTCCAGTATAATATACTGGAGTTCCACCATAATATGCTGGAAGTTCATACACAGGTGCATCAATCTCCAGTATATTATACTAGAACTTTCTGTGTTGCAGCAAAATAGTGGCTATTTTTAATGACTTTGCAAATGCTGGTTATTTTTCAATTACCAGTCCAAAAATTAGCTAGCTCATGCTATTATCCGGCCTGACCAAAATCACAAACTACTCCAGTGTAGGTCCATTACCAAATGGTACTATTAACAAATTCATCTTCGTTTCAAGGGGAACTTTCAGAAATGACTACCTTTTAAGGGGCTTTTAACAATCCGTAGCTACATTTTATGTATTTTTATTTCGTAGCTAGTTTTTCACAATGCGCTATATTTGAGTGTATTTAAATACACTGTTTAATTTTTTAAAAAAAAAATTCACGTGTATTTAAGTGTATTTGAATATATTGTTCAGTTGTATCCAACCTCATTTGATGTCGCAAGGTTGAACTTATTCAATTGTATTTGAATGTATTTATATTTAAAAAATGACGAAATGAAGAATACAATCAAGTCCAGTCAAATTTCAGACAAAAATACGAAATACACTGTATTTAAGAAGGAAGAATACAATCAAACTCGGTCGGATCTCTGGAGAAATACAAAATACCACAGTATTTATACTAACATGAAAAATACATTCAAATCCTTTAAAAAAATATACTATATTTATATTAAAAATGAAGAATATAGTCAGATCTCCGATGAGAATACAAAAAATACACTGTGTAAATACACCAATTTCCGGTGTGAAAGGTAGTGGAGGAGAAAGAGGCGACTTATTTTTTCGGCAAGAAAAGCACCACTAGGAATAAGTTTTCGATCAGACGAATACACTCAGATGTTAGATACAAAGAATGAGAAGAAACCATAGATTTCGGCATCTCCGTTAGATCCAGATCTGGTGACCTCTTCGATCTTCCTCCTCAATTATTTTCGTCGTCGGTAATTGACCTATCACAACTTTGTAATTTTCAGATCTGGATCTGACGGTGAAAATGAGAGAATGGAAGAGAGAGAGAGAATGAGAGGGGGAGAGAGAGAGGGTTGAAGGAAAAGATTGCTACAGTGGAATAACTCTATGTATTTGGCATAGCCATGACGGGCAAATTGTAACTTGGAAAGTAATTAAATTAAAAGGTAGTTATAATCCATAAATAAATCTTAGATTTAGCTATAGCAGCTAAATTTTCCTTTTAAAAACTACACTAGTATACAGAGTAAAAATCCCTCCATGCCTCTATGCACAGATACAATGAAGGTTGGTTGTATAAATCATGAAAAAAGATTGAAATAAAATAAAATGACACTTCATTCACTGAATTATCGTCTAGTTATCTGTTCTTAGCATCTCTATTTGTACTTAAAGGGACCGTTTGGTTTGAAGATGTATGCTGAAAATTAGTTATTTTGGTATTATTTTCTATTGACTATTTGGTGAGCCTTTTTTAGTAGTAAGGACTAAGGACACATGAAGCATAAAAACTTGCACGAAGGACTTTTTCTTCTCTGCCCTCTCCTCTCCTTAATCTTGTGATTGTCAATTTTACTGTTTTATCTTGGAATTACTATTCCACCATCTGACAAGTATAAATTAGCTCGATATTATTTTTAATTTTGAAATAACTTATCCCAAGAATGTAACCAAACAAGGGATAAGACAATACTAAATTTTTATCCCAGGACTATATTTACTTATCCAACTTAGTCACATCTTATACATTTTATTTTACTAGTCTTAGGGTACACGTTTTGCGCATGTACCCATATCAATAAGTATATAATTTTTTTAAAAATCACATATTAAGATTTATGAGGACTTATGTTGGAATGTCTTATAATATTTTTCTTCTTCAGTAATTTAATACTGAAAACAAAACATCAAATTATTTTTCTCACGACTCTCAAATAACATAAGTTGAAAACTGAATCTTATGCTTTTTAACCCTATACCTCCTGAAAAATTTGATAAATGGCAATGTAAAATTGAAAAAATGACGAATATTGAGATAATATTTATAAAAAATAAATTAATATAAAAATAATATAGTGAAACGTTGTCATTTGTCGGATGGAGAAAAAAAAATGACAATTTACTTAAGATATATTTGTCTTCTACTATTTTATTCTTATTATTTTAAATTTGTATTTTTACCAATTTAACTATCTATACTATACTATAATTGATTTGGCTCTATTTTCTGATTTTTTTTCACCGCCGATGCTCTTCATGAAAATAAATTTATGTACCTTAATAGTTTTGTCAACTTGACAAATAATTAATTTATTTATATGATGAATTTGAAAAATAAAATAAAATTGGTTGTTGTTGCTAATTATTTAATTCAAAGATTCAATTATTTGTTCTATTAAAGGAAATAATTTAGTTTTTGTTAATTCAAAGCATTAATGTTAGATTTTATTATTTTCCTGATATTTACTTTAAAACCAACTAACTTTATGGGTTATTAAATTTTTCTTTGTTTAAAATAGCTTAGTATTTTATTTTATATAAATTATTTTTCATTTAAACTATGTAACATTATTATAAGTTACTTTACCTAATAGTATCTACTTATATTTTTATAAAGTCAAAAAGAAATTAAGCTGCAGTTTTTGCTTTTCTAATTACTCATACGATTTAATTAATCACGTTTGAAAAATATGTAAATACATTCGTTAATTGCAAATTTATAATTAAAAAACACGCTAAGACAAGTGAGTTATCACTTGAATAACATACCAAATGAAGCATGCTATGTTAACTTAGTCGGCATGTATAATATACGTTTGAATCATCTCCATCTTTTACAAAAGTCAAATCAGAAAAGGATTTATATAAGATAAAGTTGTGTATAGTTTAAATAGACAAAGGAAATTATGTTAAAAATAAGACTCCTAAACCAAAAAGGAGTTCAAAAGTATCGTTTTGTGTTCGTAAAAAAATAATTTGTCAAAATTTTACTAACTTAAAAAACCTTTCTAAACCTAAAAGAAGTATAAATTGGTTAAAACTTTCCTAGTGTAAAATTTAATACTCCTAAATTTAAATGGAATTCAAAGGAAAAACTTTCCTCCTGAAGAAATTGGAAAAGGAACGAAATTTTCCAACTAAAGGGATTGAAATCAAACGAAACTTTGTTAGTGAAGGAATTGAAAAAGAACTAAACTTTCCAACTGAAGGATTTGAATTTAATTAATTCTCTAAGGTTTAAAATATTTTTTTTATAAAGGGCAAAAAATGCGAAAGGGCAGTAGAAATACTTTTATTCAATGGAGTAATTTGCATTGTCCAGGGTGTTATTGAAAGTAAAGAAAAAGGGCAAAGACAGTGAGGCCAGGTTGCCGCGTTGGCCACACTGCCCACTTCTGGGAAGCAAATGAACGAAAAATTGCATAACATTATTAACATTCACATTTCACACTAGCCTTTTCCAAAATCCATGCTTTTCACGCTTTTCAAAATTTTGCCAACTCATTTCTAGAAGCAATTTCACATATCCCACAGAAGCTATAGCCGCAATAGCTGTTGCCGCCTTCTTTTGGACTATAAGGACAAGGGGGTTGTTTACCGAAGTTATCTTCGCTGTTGACGGAGGTTTCAAAATTTGGTTCTTTTTTGCTCTGTGATCCATTAATATTCCTTCTAGCTGAAATTATCTTATGTTATTCAGATGAAACCCATGTGAAAAAAAAATCATCGATTTATTCGTTTTGCTATGATTCTTGAACTTTTGAGTAACAAACAATTGTGGTGCTGAAGATTTTCGATTTTGATAAAGTTGTCTCTTTTTTCTTGAAAACCCAGGTGTAAAATTGTATGCTATTCTTCATTTTGGGTATTTGGTGTAATGAAATTAGGGGGTGATCCAAACGAGTGCTACATCTTGTACTAAAAATCTCAGCTTTGATAGTTTTGATTATTGGTTGAACATTGCTGTTTCTTGTTTATGCATTTGGTTGAGAAGAGTTCAAGTTTGTGTATTTGCATTTGATTAATAGATTGAGTAGTTGGAATATTGCTAAAAGTTTGAAAGTTAATAGAAAATAAGATGGTTGGATCTGAGGAAGGATTAACAAGTCATGTTTACTCGAATGGGCTACAAAGTACTAATGGTTCTGTGGAGGAGAAGGTTGATGAGCTCCGTCGACTTTTTGGAAAAGCAGATGGTGATCCATTGAGAATAGTAGGTGTTGGAGCAGGAGCATGGGGTAGTGTTTTTGTAGCAATGTTGCAGGACGCATATGGTAATCTTCGGGAGAAAGTGCAGATTAGAATATGGAGGAGAGCTGGACGAGACGTTGATAAAGCAACTGCTGAGCATTTATTTGAGGTCATTAATTCAAGGGAAGATGTGTTAAGGAGGCTAATAAGACGGTGTGCATACTTGAAATATGTTGAGGCAAGATTAGGGGATAGGACACTACATGCCGATGAGATTTTGAAAGATGGCTTTTGTTTGAATATGATTGACACGCCACTTTGCCCTTTAAAGGTTGTCACTAATTTGCAGGAGGCCGTGTGGGATGCTGATATTGTCATCAATGGCTTACCATCAACAGAAACAAGGGAAGTATTTCAAGAAATTAGTCGGTATTGGAAGGAACGAATTACTGCTCCAGTCATTGTATCCTTGGCAAAGGGCATAGAGGCTGAACTAGGGCCTGAACCCCGCATTGTTACCCCAACACAGATGATTAACAGAGCAAGTAAGAGGTTTCTTATCGTATACTGTTTTGAGTTATTTTTTTCAGACTTAACTTCATTGTTGTGAACTTTACTGCAGCTGTCTGAGTTTCTATTATGTTTCTAATGTTGAATAACTGGGACATTACGTGGTTAAATGGCAGAATAAGTTATTCTTTTTCCTGTTTGCGATGAGAGTGCTATCTTGCCTCTTCTTCAGATGCTTGAAAAGAATTCAACATGTTTGCTTTTCATGTTAACTTGAACTAATAGCTTCTACATAACTTAGTTCAAAAACATTCTGTTATTATACCGAGTTTTGCGCTGCAAAATGTATGCTAGTTACTCTCCACTTTGTAGACTCTGATATTTTGTTGGATGAAGTGATAAATATTTTATTGAAGTGGCATCCAGTGCATTCATTGACACATAGAAGGGTATATTTGCTACTAAGTAATATTGAAGGAGCCAACAAAATTCTATTTTGTTTTGCATATTGACAATTATTACTACAGACCAGATTCATAAGACACCTAAACTTCAGATATAGGTGACAAAATCCTTCTAAGCATCTTCGGTTCCATTCTTTACATAGGGACGAAGAAATCCAGCTTGTGATGGACCACAACAGCATTCGTCTGTTTTCTGTACTTCCTGGAGGCACCAACTGTTGAATAGTCTAGGGATGGGCGTTCGGTACTTCGTACGGTATTTATGAATTAGGTTCGGTATATCAATTGTGCATACCAAATACCGTACCCAAGTAGATTGGTACGGTTCGGTATTTTCTTGTTTGGTTCGGTACGGTTTCGGTATCGCACCGTCCCTATCTAACGTGTCAAGCAATGGCAAGTGCCACTGGTGATTCGGTGAAGGAGTGGATTAAATCCCTTTTAGAAAGAATGAAAGTGTACAAGGAAGCAACATATTGTAGTTCAGCCAAGACATACAACAACAACAACAACAACAACATACCGGTATAATCCCACAGGTGGGGTCTGAGGAGGGTAGTTTGTACGCAGACCTTACCCCTACATGGAGCGGTAGAGAGACTGTTTCCGATAGACCCTCGGCTCAAGAAAAGGTGTAAAGGAAGAAAAAGGAAGAAGAAGAAGAAGAAGAAAGGGGGAAGAAAGAAAGAAGAGGGAGACAAAAGACGATAAGGAAAAAAAGGGAGAAAAAGTAGCATCAAATAGTAAAAATCAGGGAGCAACAATTTCTAGTAAAAGGGGAGAAGAAGTAGCATCAAATAATAACAATCAAGGAGCAACAATTTTCAGTAGCAATTTTAAAAAACAATAGACGTGGTTGCTAAGTACCAGATATAATAACAAACTAGAAGAAAGTATCTTTCAACCAACAACAAGAATATTACTAGTACTACTGGTAAACCTAGGAGAAACTCACAACTACCTGTCAACCCACCACCTTAATCCTCGACCTTCACACCTTCCTATCGCTAGTCATATCCTCGGTTAGGTGAAGCACCGACATGTCCTGCCTAATCACCTCTCCCCAATACTTCTTTGGCATACCCCTGCCCTTCCTCAAGCACGCCATGGTCAACCTCTCACACCTCATGACCGGAGCATCTATGTCTTCCACGGATGCCACTCCCACCTTGTCCCTAATAACTTCATTCCTAATCTTGTCTTTCCTAGTATGTCCACACATCCATCTCAACATCCTCATTTCAGCTACGCTCATCTTCTGGACCTGGGACTTCTTGACGGGCCAACAATCAGCTCCATACAACATAGTGAGTCTAACCACCGCCCCGTAGAATTTGCCCTTAAGTCTAGGTGGCACATTCTTATCGCATAAAACTCCCCGAAGCTAGCCTTCATCTCATCCAACTCGCTCCAATGCGGTGAGTAACATCCTCGTCAATCTCCCCGTTGCCTTAGATTATAAACCCAAGATACTTGAAACTATCTCTTTTGGGAATGACTTGAGTATCAATCTTTACTTCCACTTCTTCATGCCTCTCATCACTGAACTTGCACTCCAAGTATTCAGTTTTCGACCTACTCAACTTGAAACCTTTGGACTCCACCGTCTGTCTCCAAACTTCCAACCTAGCTTTAACACCCCCTCGCGTCTCGTCAATCACTATTATGTCATCAGCAAATAACATACACCCCGGCACCCTCCCTTGTATGTGTCGTGTCAGCACATCCAACGCTAGGGCAAACAAAAACGGGCTAGGAAGGGATTTTCGAAGATAACAGGAAAATATTGAAGCTTGAAAATTTCTAAGAAAATATGTTTTACTTGCAGAAGATGACAACTTCCCGACAATGATGGGATAGACGATCTATGTATAATTTCAGTGTCCATCTCTTTCTGGGTGTTGGGCTTAGTTTGTTTGGCTGGAAAATATAATTATAGAGATGGGTTGGCCGACTGGTCAGTGTAGGACTAGGACCGTAGGAAATATTTCAGTATATATTGAATATCGAAAACTCAATACCGAATACCGTACCAAAATACCAAAAAATCTATTCCGAAGAATACCGAATAAACCGATACCGAAATACCAAATTATTTCGGTCTTGTTCGGAATTCAGTTTTTCGGATTTTATGCCCATCCCTAGTGAATACTCCCTTAAGTTGTAGTGTATAATCCACTGCGTAGCAAAAAGATTCAAGAGCATGTTCTGTAGATCTATCGCTACTATGCAATGTAAAAACCAATGCTTGGCACTCTCACAATCTGATTTACACAAATAGCAGTAGTTGCATAATTTGAAACTCCTCCTCCTCAGGTTTTATTGTGTAAGACAAGCCTCGCACATCAATAACCAGGTGAAACAAACTGCTTTCATGGTGGGGGCCTTTGTTTTCCAAATGATTTTCAATGGCCGATTTTCAATTATATTGCATTCCTTCTCTAGGACTTGATAACAGTCTTTGATTGAGAATAGACCTCTGCTATTGTTGCTCCTGCTTATCCGATCCTGCCTTTCTGTTTTTTCTTATGTGATCCACTTTGTTTAGTAAGTTTAGTATGTCACAACCCGCACTTTGGGGTTGTGATTTCGGCCATGAACTGGTGAGAAAAGGCTGTTCTGATTGTCTGACGTAGATCTGTCTACTCGGGCAACTTGGGCTTTTTAATTTTAAGCATATATAAGGGGGGTATAGGTGATGAAAGCTCTGACCTGCCTCCCCCATACGTGCTTGAAAACCTGGGAAAGGAGATAGGCTGGCCTGCAGCGAGGGGAACAGCAGGGCCTGGTCTTGGCAGTTCCTCCTTACCTGGATGTTCCAGCCTCTACTCCCTGCTTAGGACCTTTTGTCGTTAAGTGTTCTTGACCTTTATTGGCTTCATTACACTTAACTCTTCTTAGCTGATTGATTGAGGTGTCATTACAGATAAGCATGGTTTCATGCCTTTAGTTCATCCTACAGGTAACAAAGTGAGGGATTTCCATCTTCTAGATATATTTATTGCTGAGTCAAATGTATGGGGTATATACACGTTTCATAATGTAG